GGGGGGTTCGTGGGCGGGGCTAAGGGTTAGAAAAAGGGGAGCGGGTTCTTTATTTTAAAAAATTTCAAATTTGAAATCTCACGCTGCAGGTTCATTAGGAGTTGAGAAGCCAAAGGACGGTTTTAAGTTGCAAACCTGGAGAATCGCACGGTCCAGTACTGGGGTGTGGAGATCCTGGATGACGGGAGGTCATGTGCTATGTCTAACGTTTAGCCTAGTCTTAATGGAACCAGGGCGATAGGGGAGGAAACTAGGGCGATCCAGCGTCAGAAGAGGTGTATGACTGGAGAAAACGAATCACGTTAAAAGCCTTGAAAACATATGTTGGTCACCATAGCCAGAAAAGTGAAATTTGAGAGACACGAGGGTGACTAACACAGTACAGCAAGCCAGATTGAATTAGAAAGATGATCTTTCAGACGGAAATTCTGTCTTCAACAACGGCATCAGGGGTGGCTACTCGCCCCGAGTAAAGTCCTTTTTACAAGAGGTTAAGAATTAATAACATACTCCAAATTTTCCTGAATTTGCTGTGGCTCAATGTTGGAAGACTTCTTTTAAACTTTAGAGACATTGAACATGAAATCAGCTTATGGGTTCCAAAGACGTAGAGCCTACTGTGTTAAATACGAGTAACTCTTTCGATTGTTCTAAGCTTTTACTAGAGTCATGCTGCTACTTGGTTTGCTTTGGACCATGCACAATGAATGAATAACCCCTTCCCATACCAAGTCAGACAAGCAGCTCTGAAAGTGTCATTGAATTTACCATCTTGTGGCTACTTTACAACCAAAAATCATGAGGCCATTTATTTATTTATTTATTTATTTATTTATTTATTTATTTATTTTGAGACCTGTGTAGCCCAGCTCCCTACTTAAACCAAAGTGGCCTTGAACTTGTTCAGTTGAACTAGAGGCCTTGAAGCAGAGCTTCCTGCCTCTGCCTCCCAAGTGCTGGGCACATGCTACTTCTTTGGGAGGGCAAGGATGTTATTTTTAAACACTGGCCACTCTTGAACTCTGACATGAAAACAATCCTCATTTAGCTAAAATCTGAGTTTTGCTGGAAATCAAGATGCCAGATTTATTGCAGCTCTTAGAGATCATGTCAGGGTGACATATTTAAATTAGTTTACTCAGTTCTCTAATCTTTAAAGAACACAAGTCCTCTCTTATCCAAAAATAGATTTCGAATTAAAATTTGCACAGAATTCTTTAGGTACTTGGCTATAGTTTATGGAGATAGACTTTTTAAACCCAGTAGAAACTGCCCTTCAAACCCAAGTGACAGAGGTCAGTATGTGAACCTCATAATAACATCCAGTTTCTTGAGGGGGGAGAAGAGTAAAACAAAGTGTTACATTATGCTGGTATTGTGGCAAAGATAGCTGATGGAATGCTTCATTTCTAAATCCGTAATTTCAGTAATTTCTCAAGACAGTTTCTATCAATAAGACAGAAATAATTGACTTGTTAAACCCAATGTGAACTTATAATAACCCCCCCTCTCTCTCTTCTTTTTTCTCGAGACAAGGCTAACTCTGTGTAACAGCCCTTGTTGTCCTGGAACTAGCTCTGTAGACTAGGCTGGCCTCGAACTCCCAGAAATCCGCCTTGGCCTCCTGAGTGCTGGGATCAAAGGGATATACCACCACCTCCCAGCTATAATTGCTTATTTTAATTTTGATGTTAAAATTGTTTATCAGTGGATATTATTGACTTTTGAGAAAATAAAAAGACTGTGCCTGATCATGGCATTACATTATCTTTTTTTTTCTTTTTTTTTTTTAAATTTGAATTAGAAACAAGATGGTTTTGGCATTACGTTATCTTATTATATAAACTTCCTGATGATTAGTTATGATATTCTTCAGCCACACATTTAAAGAGTGGCCGGGTGGTGGTGGTGCATGCTTTTGATCCCAGCACTTAGGAGGCAGAGGCAGATAGAGCTCTGTGAGTTCGAGGTCAGCCTGGTCCACAGAACTAGTTCCAGGACAGCTAGGGCTGTTATACAGAGTAACTCTGTCTTGAGGAAAAAAGAAAAAAGATAAAATTAATGTGAAGAAATGAGAACATTTCTGGTACAAAGAGAGTAGAAGGTGTTTTAACAAAATTAGGATTCTTTTCTTTTCTTTTCTTTTCTTTTTTTTTTTTTGGTTTTGTTTTTTGAATCAGGGTTTCTTTGTGTAGTCCTGACTATCTTGGAACTCAGTCTGTAGACCAGGCTGGCCTCAAACTCACAGAGATCTGCCTCTGGAGTGCTGAGATTAAAGGCTTATGCCAACTCGCCTGGCTACATTTTAGGATTTTAAAGTTAAAATATTTTATTTAAATGTTTCACAATGTGTGTGTGTGTGTGTGTGTGTGTGTGTGTGTGTGTGTGTGAATTTAATGGTTTTGTGAGAATAGCATTTTCCAAAAAATTTAAAGACCCTACTTTTGTGTATTTTCCTTTAAAAAATATAGAACTCATGAGGCTGAGACAGGTGAATCATTTGAGCTCAGGAGTCTCAGGCCAGTCTCCTCACTACCTCATCAAGAACCCTGTCTTTTAACAAACAAGCAATCTCTGGGGAGGGGGAAGGGGAGAAGTTACTACTTCAAACTGTTAGGAAGAAATGAAAAGAATTCTAGTTGTTGTAAGGAAGTTTGAAATCACTGAACAGAGGAGAGAAGAAACTATCTCCAAACTATAAAAAAGAAGTATGTGGAGAGGAAGAGAGAGGAGAGAGAGAGAGAGAGAGAGAGAGAGAGAGAGAGAGAGAGAATGCAGCATATGCATGCCAGTACCTTTGCTAGTGTGTAGAAAGTTGTTAATAAATAACATGGCAGCCCTAGCTCATTGGAATTAGAGAGGTCCCAGGAGAGCCACACTTACAGGCTTTAATGCAGTTATCCTGGCTCCATGCCCATACCCACAAACCATGCAGTGGAGGTTGTGGGCATCCTTGATTACTGCTCTGTTAGCCCCCCGACTTGACCATTTGCCTTACATCTGGTACTTCCCCCAAAGGCTTCAATTTTCAGCAGTGTATGGGAAGTACATTTAGAAAGAACAGTGTAAGGAAAAACAACCCTAAAAACTAAGGCTCCCTTTCACTGATGGAAAAACTGCTTCAGCATGAGCTTTTCATTATTTGCAAACAGCATACTTCTCCTGGGTCATTGTCTTATAGATGAGTGCAATGATGAATTATTTCATAACCATCAGATGGTAGAATGTGAGCAACAGGTTCTCAAGAAAACCTGACATCTCCATCCCCCAGTGAATAATGACTCTTAAAGGCTGAAAAAAAATACTGTAGCAGAAATTAAGCAACTGTCTAGCTAAGGAAAACAGCTATTTTAGTAGGCATACCTAAACCAGTGACACCTATTGTACATTGGATAACCTACATTCTAGCCATGAAGTTATTCTGGGATTAAGAAGAAGCTTATATTTGTTTTCTATGTTTTAAATCACCAAATTATTAGAAAAATACAAAATGAAGGAGTGTTTTTAGCTTTTTAAAAGGAACCCATCAAAAATAAAGAATTGTATAAGCAAGTAGTCATTGGTTTATTACTAGGCTTTCCTGGTGCTGCATTTCTGAGCACTATTAAATTAACAAATCCTCTGAGTGGGACCATTGTGTGATATTATCCAAAAAGAAGGAAAAAATTACAGCAAGAAAGGGCTAAGGCTAATAGAAATCCCTGGCTCACTTTGTAAAGGGAAACAATCTTACTGAAGGATACGAATTCTTACTTAAAGTTACTGTTAGACATGCCTAGTATTTGATACACTGAAATAATAATGATCTCTATTCTACGAATTCTTACTTAAAGTTACTGTTAGACATGCCTAGTATTTGATACACTGAAATAATAATGATCTCTATTCGTTTGTAATGGTGGAAAGCTTCTTGAAAAGCTCCAAATAGCTTGGAAGTTAAGGTAAAATGTAGCAGCTTGTGTTTTGAAGTAATCAATGTAATGTCCTCGTCATAACATTCATTATTTCAGTACTGAATTTAACGTGTCATCTTAGTGAACCAAAATGTTACTTCGGTGGTTCTACCATTTAGCTTACATGCTCCAGTGCAGCAGCACCAAGAGAAAGAGCTATTAATGACTATATGACTTCATTCTTCCATGTTTTATGTGGCCACTGGAATAACATGAATTATAACTGCATTATCTGATTAGAGAAACCAGGAATAAGTTCAGTTTTGCTATAAAATTACTTTATAATTGCTGACAAATCTCTTAATCATTTAGTTTCCCTATTCTGAGGAGGAATAGCCTAGTACCAAAGAGTTGCACTACAGAAAATAATAAAAGAATGTATATAATGCTTTGATACATTGGAAAAAATGATAGTACCACCTCAGGGGGCTGCTATTGGCAGTAG